TATATTTGATCACAATAACTAGAAAAAGAATCCACAGCAGACTCAACAGAAAAGCAGCTGTCACTATGAAAATAAACCCAAATAAACGACTTCCTATCACTCATTACTGGCTGGAAGCGCCTGCCAGTCAAAGGCTCTCTGCCTGGGACTGCTGACTGCTGGCGGCTGGAAGGTGAGGCCTGAGAGATTTATCAGCACCAAGCCAACTCTTCCGTCCCTGAGTAATGAAGATGGGGAGAGACAGAGGAAGGGCATTCCCTCTGGGAGAGTCCACACTGCAGGGCCCTCCCACCCTGGGGGAAAGGTGGGCCCCACCCAAGCCCAGGCCCAGCCTTCTTCCTGAATAAAAGCACAGGACTGAATGGCGGCCGTGGGGGCTGAGAGGACGTAACCCTCTCAGGATCCCTTGGCAAACAGCTCCCGGGCCCACCAGGCAGGGAGGAGCTGGCACACCAGGGAATGGCCTCATCTCCTCGAGTCCAGCCATGAGCTCTTTGGACAGGTTCTTGGCAGAATGGCGTCTCCCTGGCCAAGGCTGCCCCTGGAGCAGGGCCCAAGGCAGAGCCCAACCCAGCCTGAGGCCCCTTGCGCTGAGGATGGCTTTTCATTTGTAAAGGGTTGTACAAACGAAGAATATGAGACAGAAGCCGGTGAAATATTTACAACCTGGCCCTTTTCAGAAAAAGTCTGTCCTCCTGCCTTTGAGTATTCCTTTTTAAACCTCAGCCCTCTTCCCGCAGGCCTCCTGCTGGCTGTTCTTACCGAGAAGCAGGGGGTAGTCCTCAGCCTCCAACCACGGGGTACAGACCTGGATGTGCTGGAAGTGCTTCTGGCTGATGAGGTGGCTGTAATACTCCTTCAAAGGCCCTTTGCCTTGCAGAAAAAAAATCAGTCACTGCACTGGGCCCATCTCTGGCCCATCCCAGGCCTGAGAAATCTCTGCGAAGGAGTGAACAGGAGCTCCACACTCGGCTGCTCCAATCAGGCCCTGGTCCGAACGGCCCTTTCCAGAAATGACCCCCACCCCGGGGCTGTGCACCCTGCCCGCTGAGGCCATGGCAACCTGCACCCAACGGGCTGTGATCATGGCCGGGCTCCAGTGTCAACTAGCTACAGCTTCTCACACGGACTGCCCCTGTGCCCCGGCAGCCGTCACAGTATGTGCAGCGGGCTCCTGCCACCCTGGGAGCCCAGGGAACAGGAGGAGGGGACTGCACGAGGTGGGGCAGCTGGCCCAGGACCGTCCTCCTCCGACCACAGCCCTCTGCTTCTCTCCCCACTGGGCTACTCTGAAAGCAATTTTATGTCAGACATTGGCCTCTTTTGTTTAAAAAAAGGATGCCTGGAAACCACTGCAGAAGTGGAAAGCTCAGTATCTCTGAAATTGTGCTATCTGAGATTCAAGTCTAGACCCCATGCCCTGCTTGTGAGGACCTCTGAGCCTCAGTCTCCCCCTCTGCCAAGTGGGTGTAGAAAACCCTATGGCAGAGAGCTGCTGTGAGCATTAAAGGGACAAGGAATATCACTGCCTAACTTGGAGAAGGTACACAATAAAGGCAGTTGACTTCCACCTCCCTCCACTACACCCAAACTAAATACAGGAACATGGAGGGTCCCAGGTGGTACCTGTTATCACACAGACCAGAGAGGGAAGGCGTTCTCCATCCAGGATCAGCTGTTCAAACTCTGTTTCAGAAAATAAACACATGATAACCAGGATCATCTAGTCAGGTGAGGGTGGAGGTGAGGGAGGGGGTGAGGGAGGGACAGCTCCCAGACATAAGATCACTCCCCCAGAGGTGGCACTTCAGATCTGGGGTCTGCTTACTCGAGGACCCAAATGGGGACGCAGGGCCACCACCTCCACCATCCATGACTCAGGCTGGCCCACCCAGCAGCCCTGGGGACAGAAACACTCTGCAGAGGACACCACAGAAGGCCAAGCGGGCACCTCGCAATTCAACAGCCCCCAACAAGTTCAGCTCCGGTTCACAGCCACACACCTACTTTCTAATGCTGCCAGCAAGAGGGAAAAGTCTTCATCCTCTGCAAGAAAAGGGAAATGAATATCACAGCCGGTTTCTAGATGCCCCCCCCCCGCCCAGTTCAATGCCCTCCCCTTTCTCATCAGGGCCTCCAAGATGCCCGAAGTCATGTGGGGCACAGGCCTGGCAGGGATGAGAACGCAGGCTCAGCCAGGTACTCGTACAAGCCCCAAGTGCCCGGGAGGGTCCTGAGACCTGTCCAGCTCGTGCTGCTGACCAAGAGGGCCGGCCGCCCGCGAAGACATGTCACCATCCCGCTCCCAGCATCCCGCTCCGTGAAGGCCGACCTCTCCGTGGCCGGGTCTGAGGGTTCTGAGCTGAAGGAGCAGAGATAGAGCCTGTGAGAAGCCCGAGGACGGCTGTCTCCCGCCAGAGCAAGACCCAGAGGCTCCCAAAGGTCAGGCGTGGCCACGTCAGAGCCACCGAGCCCTCTACTACCTGATACCCAGGCACAGACATGCACCTTGCTTTCTTTATCAATATTATTTGTTGCTGGGTGCTGAGGTCACAACAGCAGATAAGACCGCCTCAGCCCCTGCCTTCACCAACTTACTGTTCTTATCATTCCCTCGACTTAAGACAAGGATGCTGTGACATCCCAACTGGCTCCCAGGTTACTGAAAGGAGCAAACAACTAGTGTGTGCAGAGCTACTCAAAGGCCCTTTCCTTAGCCCTGTGAGACACCCCAGAGAACACAGAGGTCCACACACTCCATCATGGGGTCAGGAACCCTCAGGCAGGGAGGTAAAGGTGCCCACAGCCTCGCACAAGACAAACATTCCCTTAAATGGCCAGAGACTAAAACAAACACTTCAGGCTTTGGGGGCCATATGATCTCTATTACAAAACTTGGCTCCACTGTCGTAATGTGAAAGTAGCCATGGACAATCTATAATAAATGGGCTGCGTTCCAATAAAACTTTATTTATGAATAGGCAGTGGGCCTGCAGCCATAGCTGGCGAAGCCCTGGCTTAGAGGATCCCCAGGTCTGCAGCAAGGAGACGGGGAGAGGCCAGGACAGCAGCAAGAAGGCAGCTGAAGACAGGAGACGGGAGACCTACCTGGCCCTGAACGGAGAGTAGGTGCGGCCCAGCTTCATAAAGAGCTGATGTTGCAGGTCCAAGGGTGTCTCTTTAAAGAAAGATGCAGGCTTGTCGTAGACAGTCACAGCTCTGCAATGAGATCAGTGGGGGGCTCAGGAGGCGTGGAGAAAGGCCTGAAGAATAGAAGACCCAGGAGAACCCAGAAAAAGAAGGGGGCTTGGGGCATCCAAGTCTCAGACAATAAGCAGCTTTGGGGGGGAAAAATAGTACAACAAATAAAACATTGCTTTAAATTCACTAAAAAAAAAAGCTTTGAATTACTTGGGGAAGCACAGAGAAAAGTCCTAACATCAAAACCGCCTAAACCACCTGGCTGGCGGGGAAAAAAACTCCAGCCTCCTCTCACTCAACTTCCCCGTGACCATCTCCCAGGCCCCTGGGGATTTCCAGATGCCTCGTCAACATGACATCAAGCACTGCAGCTGGGACCAACCGTGCTGAGACCCCTTGCCGCCCCAGACTCCTACTTGATGCCCCAGTTCTCTGCCAGGTCTTCCCGCATCGCGTTGGTCACACACAGGTTCAGGTGGGACAGGCGGCCGCAGAGCTTCTCGTACCTGAAAAGACATTATCACTGGTCAGCCAGGAGTCCTGGCCAGGCCCCACCACCACAAGCACCAGGTGACTCGACATCTTCCAATATAAAAGAGGGGGCAAGACTGGGGTCTCTCCAATTGGGTCCCTAATGAGGACCTTCCGGAGTTTGTACTGAATTCCACCTGTACTATTATTTCCTTCACACCTTTCTTTAGGTTATATTGCTTTTTGGCTTAAATACAACTATTTCCAAAAGATAAAAAGGAGAAATAAAATAAAGTCCCATTATTAAATCTTAGCTACACTGCACTGTTCCCTACAAAGGCTGTGGAGCTGACGCTTCCTCTAAATGTATTACAGAGTTTAGCAAATGTTAGAAAGATGTTAACACATTGACTCCAAACTGAGACTTGTGCCCTGATGACAGGGCAGAACTGAAAGAGAGCTGAAAAGGGGTAAGGAGTGACTGCAGGTTATTTATCACCATTAGGGGATCACTTTCTGCTCCTACACTCAGGATATAGACAAAGCTCCAGAGCTGGACGGCTCTAGAACTGAATTTTGGGCCTCACGCTTATTAGCTGTGTGGCAAGCAGCATAATAGATCTCACCCTAGGTTTCCTGGCTTGTAAAGAGTGTTAATCACTGGGGGGTGGTACAGACTAGAAGGGATAACGGGCTTGGCTGGAGCCTGGCATGCAGCAAGCGCCCAATGATTGCTGCTGCTGCTGCCAACACTGTTACTTACTGCCAGGAAGGAATGACCCGTCAGGGGAAAGGCCACAGCTGCCGGTAGCCTGAGGCTGCAAGTCCCCATCAAGGCTGATGTTATACACTTGATGTTATATACAGAACACAACCACCTCTTCCTGCTCCAAGTCCAACCTACTCCCACATGCCTTTCTTCCGTCTCTCTGTCTCTCTCATCAGCTGCAGCGGGCTGTGACCCGGATCCCCGCCCCATCTTCCAGCAGCAGCCCCGCGTTTTTATTTGGGGGTCTTGTCTGGGTGTACCTGGGACCCCAGCTCTCGCAGTGGAGCATCTGTCCCAAGCCTGAGGCAACAGGGCACTGAAGCACTCCGGCCTTGGTGTGGGTCAGAGGCTGGCCGGTGAGCAGGAGGCAGGCAGAGGCTCGCTCTCCACTGAGTCTCACAGGGTGGGGAGGAGAGCAAGGGGGGCTCCCAGAACCTGAGAAAGCCTCCGGGAGGACACATGGAGAGAGAAATGAGGGGTCCTGACGACACCCTTGTTGAGCTTAAAGTCAGCCATTTCTCTAGACTTTTCGGTTTCATGGGCCAACAGATGCCCTCCTTTAATTAGACCTGTTTCCATCACTTGTCGCCAGTGTCAGCCCAATTCCCCAGCCTTGCCCTTCCCCCACAGCAAGAGGGAGCCGGCTTCACCAAGTCTCACACTGGCCCTTCTTCCTACCACAGTTTGGGGAAGGTATCTGCACCCTTCTCCTCCCAGCCCCTCACCACTTGGCCAGCAGAACGAGGCGGTGGCTGGGGCCGTGCACCAAACCCATAATGGAGTAGCCATAGTTGTGCCAGTCGATGACGAGCTTGCTCCCACAGAGGCAGCCCACACACAAGCAGACAGCAATGGCTGGCAGGCCCGGGGGGTTCTGGGAAAGAGAGGAACTTGAGCAAAGAGGAGGAAACCAGAATCATCGACAACAGACAGCGTACAATGTACATAATCGATAAGCAAAAGACCCTTTTCCTCCCTAAAAAAGGTATAAAAAGTCATAAAAGAAGCAAAACCAACCAACCTGAAAAGTCCAAGATCATCGATAATCAAAGAGACAAAAAATGGAACAGGAGGTACACATTTCACCTATCAGAATGGAAACTCCAAAACACCTAACAACAGCTAGATGTTGGGGAAGAGGCATCCCCTTGGGTAGGGGGTACACTGGCCCAACTTTATTCTAAGACTACCCAGTAGCACACATTTTACAGTGCATGAGTTTTGACCAAGCTCTTCCACTCCTATGAATTTATCCCAAGGAAGAAACTGGACCCATGCAAAACAACATGTTCACTGATGCTCTTTGCCACACTATTTGCAAAAGTAGAAAAAATTAGGAAGGATCTGCGTGTCCATTAAGATGAGACTAAATAAATCATCCATTAGTGTACATCACATATTGGGATACAATGCAGCCAATTAAAAGGTGCTTCTACATGATAAAAAGCAGTGAAGAGATGGGGATAAGAGTATAACTCCAGAACCAGGCAGACTACCTAGTTCGAATCCTGCCTTCAGCACTTCCTAGCTGTGTGACAATGGGCTACCTCCAGAACCTCTCTGAGTCTAGGTCTCCACATCTCTAAAATGTAGGGAATACAATAACCTACTTCTTAGAAGTGTTCTGAGGGTTTAAATGAGTTAATACAAGTAAAACACTTAGATATGTAATAAGTACAATGTAAGACTTACCTGTGATGACATAGGAAAAGAGACTGGATAGGTACCATAAATAGAATAGACATATACTCACTCATACAATAGGCTCCTACTCACGTCCTTAAAAGTTTATACTCACATCATATGCAATCTATTTACCAACCTGTGCATTTTTAAAAGGCTGGAAAGTAAAGAAAACAGTTAACAGTGGTTCTCACAGAGAAAAGCAGGGCTGACATATACCTGGAGAAAGATGTAGGCTGCTGGCTCCCTACACATTAACTTCCACAGCAAGTGCACAGCCTGAAATACAACTTTGACTCCGTACTGAAGAATGTGCGGCCCAACTGCAAATCAGAAAAGGGACGTCACTACCGAAGGAGTTCTTGACAGTTTGCAGATTCCCCCCAACACACAGAGTCAGAGAAATCTGGAGTCGACTGCATCCTACCTGCAAGTCTCTGAAGTTCTGTCAAACGCACAATCTGAATTCGGTCGTTTTGCAAGAGCTCATCGTGGGGTTTGGAGTCTGAAAAGAATGTCCCTTTTAATGTACCCGGCAGGGCAATCTAATTTAAAGTCAGCTGGTCCTCCAGCTCAGGATGGAGAGTGGCGAATGTTCCTCAACAGCCAGAACAGAAAATGAGGACAATTCTTGCCCAGATTCCACCAGACTGGCCACAGAGGGAGGGCCTGAATCTTACCCATCTTTACTTAACACAATGCCTGGCACATAGGAGGCCCCCAAACTGATCTAGATTCCCTGGATGGTGGAATTACCCCACCACAGAGTGAACCCGAGGAAGTCCCACTCCATCCACTCACTCTGGGATAGCAGACTCTAAACAGGGACCAAAGGCAACCAGGGCTATTCTTGCTTTTCCCAGATATGGAGTTGAGCTACCCCTTACCTAAAAATGTCAACATGGAGGAAGATGGAAGAGCAGACACGCCTGACCCTGCACACGGAGGGCAAGGCTGGATACACTGACCAAATGAAGTTATCTGCCTGCAGAGCTCTGCCCTAAGGGCGAGGAATGCAGAGGAGACAAACTAGCTGCCTGTGTCCTCAGACACTGCCTGACAAGAGTAGCCTCAGGGATGTGGCTACCAGCACTGGCCCTGGAGTCACACGCACCTGGGTTCCAGTTCGTCTTTCCACTTACTAGGAGAATTAACTGAGAACTATGCAATAAGTTCGTTTAGTTTATTTAGCACTGTCTTGGCATATGGCAGGCGCTCGGTTAAAGCTGGCTGTTCCTAGAGACCCACCCAGCAGAGCCTGGGCAGAAACCTGGCAACAGCTGCCCAGGACAGAAGTGGGTTCGCCCAATCTCGGAGAGCTGCCCGGGGGAGGAAAAAGAAAAGGGACGTCCTCGCCCCGGCCCCTCTGGGGTAATCAAAGCCTCCGGTCAAAGGCTGAAAGAGCAACCTCCCTCCCAGATCCTCGGGCACTCACTGCAGTACCCCAGGAGGGTCACGGAGAAGCCGCGCTTGGCCAGCGACAGCGCGTGGTACTGCATTCGAGGGCTGCGGCCCACATCGCCCAGCACCACGACGACCACGTGCCGGGCCGTGCGCCCCTGCCGCCAGCGCTTCCACGAGATCAGCAGCAGCAGCGGCAGGGATACGAACAGCGCCAGCAAGGCCACGTAGGAGGCAGCCATCTTGGCGGGCCGGCTGCGGTCACGTGACCGCGCTCCCGCGGACCCAGCGCGCTATGCGCAGCCGCATTCCGAGTCCCCGAAGTGGGCGGGGAGAAGGCAGGTGAGGGCGTGGTTTCCTTAGTGGCTGCACGCCGAGCCTACGAGGATTACCTGGAGGCCGAGAATTAGTCGTGTTTAAGGTAAAGCTTTTACTATGCGGGGATCTAGGAACATTTTATTTCAAAATTCTAAGATAACTTCAAAATATAGTGAGACAACAATTTGGATGAATCGCCTAAGCATAATGTTGAGAAAAGAGATCAAGTGCCAAAGTACATACTGGCTGGTTCCATCTATATAAAATCAAAACTAATCTTTGCTGTTAGAAGTCAAGGGAATGACTTGTTTGGAGGATCAGGGAGTGAGTGGGAGGGGGCCATGGGGAGCTGGGAGTTAGGGATGGTCACCTTCTGTTTCTTGATCCGGGTGCTGGTAATGTAGTATGTTCAATTTGGGAAAATCATTCAGCAGAAAACTTATTCATTTTTCAGGATGTGTGTTGTACTTGAATAAACCATTTCACATATAAAGAGAAAGGGAAGAGAAAAGGACAAAGAAGAAAGAAAAACCATAATAATTTTAAGTATCCATAGTAATGAGGAAACATTCCCCCCCACCCACCCACCCTCCAATTTCACTTCCCAAAGTTGCCACACTACAGAGTTTAGTGTGTGTCCATGTGACAGCCTTTTGACTTTGAAGGCCTTTTGACTTGCTGAGAAACATTGAGAGCACGTTGGTGAAGCCATCCCCACCGCCCCCACCTTGGGAGCTGCCCCAGAACCTGGCAGAACACCTAGCACAGCCACCACCTGCCCTCAGACCTGCCTCACCCACTTACACATTTGACAAAGAAACAAACAGCACCACTCTGGATAAGAACCTGGACAGGGCAGTGCCCACCAGAGAGGGCAGCACCATGCTGCTGTGTGGTTCCCTGGTGACCTCTCAGGACTTGGCACATTTTTCATTCGATTCTCACAGTAGCTCTATGACTCCCCGTTTTACATATAAGGACCCTGAAGATCACACATTTTGTGAGTGCTGCAGAGGCAGGGCTTGAAACCTGAGCTGAAGAGAAGGAAGGACCAGTGAATACGTACAGATGGGAGGGATGGGCAGCCTCATTAATCCCCCAGTTCCCAGCTAGGCTCCTGCCTTTAGTCACATGTGCCCCGCCCATTCCACCCTCTGCAGTGGGACGGGGCTGGGATCTGGAGACCTCAGCCTCCTGGGTCCCTTGATCTTGAGCAGGTCAACTCTCAATCAGTTGGCTTTCCTGACCTGTAAATTAAGGGAGGGAACGTCACATCCCAGAGAGCCTGTCTTGCTCTGATGATCTAAGAGGATAAGAGCTACGCGCCACGAGTAGACAAACCAAAAGTAAACGCCTCTCTCTGGAAGATGAAACCCCAACTGGAAAAGAAATTGGCATCGCTTCTCTAGGGAGAGAGGAGCAAGGTACATCGCCAGCCAGCACTGCTTTCCTATTTGCCTCCATGGTATACATCGCACATGAAAGTCCATCCTTTCAAAGTTCAAAAGGATATTGTTTCCCCTTCCAGAGACTGGAGGCTGAACCCTGGCCAGGTTACCTGATGCTGAAAATGTCATCTCAGGCACTGGCATCCCTGCACCACCTGGTACTTAGCTGTGAGACAGCGGGTCACAATAAGTTACCTCCCTCCGAGCCAGAGATTTTGTTTAAGGTATAAAAGGGGTAAGAATAGCACCCCATCTGGGTCATTATAAGGATTAACAGAAGTAATGATAGTGACAAGCTTTGCCTGGAACATTTGGCACACGCAAGTGGCAAAAAAAATGGTTTCTTGGGGAGCAAAGAAAAACTTAACTCTTATGTATAAAGCACAGATACATACAGTACACAAATATACAGTATATCTGTAGTATTAAAGTTACTTGAGAGTTCCACACAAAAACTTGTGCATGACAAGCCCTCATACATCCCTGGCGGTAATGTAAAATGGTGCAACCACTGTGGGAAATAGTTTGACAGTTTCTCCGTAGTTAAACATAGAACATACCACACAACCCAGCAATTGCATCCTAGGCACATATACCCAAGAGAATTGAAGACAGGTTTTCGAACAAAAACATAAACAAATATTTATATCAGTATTATTCACAATAGCAGAAAGGGGGCAAAACTCAAATGTCCATCAACTGATGATAAAACGTGATCCATCAGCACACTGGAATATTATTCAGCCATAAAAAGGAATGAAGGACTGATGGTTTCAACATGGATGAACCTTGAAAACGTTATGCTAAATGAAGTCAGACACAAAAGGTCACCTATTGTATGATTCTATTTCTATGAAATGTCCAGAATCCATAGAAATGGAAAGTAGATTAGTGGTTGCAGGGGTCTGAAGGGCTGAGAGGGTTGGGGAGAGTGGGGACCAATGCTAATAAGCATGGGTTTCCTTTTGGGGTGATGAAAATATTCCAAAATCAGATAATGGTGGTGGCTGCACAACTTTGTGAATACTTTAAAAGACGCTGTCTGTACACTTTAAAAGGATAAACTTTATGGTATGTGAATTATGTCTCAATAAAGCTGTTATTTTTAAATGTTCAGGGGGAAAAATGTCTCAAAAAGGCTGGGAGGTGGGAGGGCAGAGGTTCAGGGAAGAGCAAGAATGAAATAAAAAGGTTGAGAAACCTTTACCTAGAGACTGCCCACAAGGAACGTCAGGTGCACATTTTGGTGGAGGCATTTTTATTTTATTTTATTTTATTTTATTTTATTTTTAACTGAGCCATCCTGCCACCTGGTGGCAGCTCAGCTGCAGCTCTGCTTGGGCCGGGACTCAAACCGCTGTTGCTCAGAGCTTGCACTCTTGAGCGAGCTCTTAACCAGCTGAGCCACTTGGCCAGTCTGCATTTTTATTATTTTTATTATTTTCACGGATCTGTAATCTGTTAACTGAAGCCCTGGGGCCAGGTATGTTTCTGAATTCAGAAGTTAGGGGATTTTAGAAAGGCAATATGGCATGCATGCATGTGACAGTCGGGCAAGGTTCAGGATATCACTCAGTAAACCAACATAGAAATTTCTGCCGGGAAACAGACGTAGTGCACCCTGAGTGAGCTACCTGAGGGCTCTAAGTCCTCACCATCCAATAGAGAACCACAAGTGGCTGCCGGGCTCTTCTTGAAATGTGGCTAGCCCAAGATGAAATGTGCCCTGAGTGTAAACACTCCCCACGTTTCAAAGACTTGGTACGAGAAAAAAAATTTTTTTAAGTATGTAAAAAAATTAATCATTTGCATATTGATTACAAGTTGAAAAGATAATATTTTGGATCTATTGGTTCAAATAAACTATTGTGGATCGTTCAAATTTATTTCACATGATTCTCTTTGTTTTTTTTTAATGTGGCTACTAGAAAATTTCTAAGCCATCCACGTGGCTTGTCTTTGTGGCTCATGTTCTGTTTCTACTGGACAGGTGCTGCTGTAAGAAATCTTCTGGGGCCGGCTGAGTGGTGCGTTGGTTAAGAGTTGGCTTGGGACGCCAGCTCTGAGCAGCAGGGCCCTGGTTCAGATCCCACATGAGGGCCAGTGAAGTGACGTCCTCCACAACTAGACTGAAGAACAAAAGGACAGCAACTTGTCTGTTCCCCTTTCCCGATTCCCCAATAAAATCTTTTTAAAAAAAAATGAAAGAAAGAAATCTTCTGTCAGTTCAGAGCAAGCAAGCCCTCAGATGAGTTTATTCCAAACTTTTTTTTTTAATTGCATTTTAGCATTTTTGGATTTCTACATTGTAATTGCAATTGCTAGATCAAAGATGGAGGCTGTGGGGCCGGCTGAGTGGCTCCGTTGGTTAAGAGCGCAAGCTCTGAGCAACAGGATCACCGGTTTGATTCCCACTTGAGCCAGTGAGCTGCGCCTAAGCTGACCTGCTGCTGAGCTGTCAACAGGCGACAGGATGGCTCAGCTGGTGAGAGCATGTGCTCCTAAAAAGGTTTCTGGTTCAACCCTCACAACTAAGATTGAGCACAGCACCTTGAGCTGAGTGGCCTCGAGCTACCAACGGGTGGCTGGATGGCTACTGGACTTGGAGCTGAGCTAGCTGCGCCCTCCACAACTAAGATTGAAGGACAACAACTTGCCTGTTTCCCTTTCCCAATTCCCCAGTAAAATCTTAAAAAAGGTGGGAAAAAAGGTGGAGGCTGTGGGCCTGGAGAACCGGGTAAGAAGGGAAGGGTGGGAGCCCCTCTCCCCAGCCTGTGACCACCTGGCTCCACAGCGAGGCCAGGCCTGACCTCTGGTCCCCCCGTGGTTAGTCCACTGCAGTTGTCCTCCCCAGATCCCTCTGTGCAGGTAACCCCAGCTGCTGGGTCAGCCCTGCCCTGCCACTTCTATGCAGCTCTGCAGGAGGAAGGGGAGGAGGCGTGTGGGGCAGGCTGGGCTGGGCTGTGCTGAAGCGCCAGACCAGTCCGAGCAGAAGCCAGCCATGTCCAGCATGGGGCTCCCGCTTCTGCTCTTGCTGCTGGCACCGCCACTATGGCCCTTCTCATTGCCACCGCCGGACACCCCAGAGGGTAAAGCCACCATCACGGGCCTCATCCTCTCGGTGCTGGAGAAAGCCACCTCCTTCCTGAAGAAGAGGCTACCTGAAATCAACCTGGATGGTGTGGTGGGGTTCCGGGTGCTGGAAGGTGGGTGTTCCCCTGGACTGCCCGCCGGGAAAACCAATTCTCAGCCTGTCACCTGCCTGCCCCGCACCTCAGGGACCTGGCCACCTTCTGGCCCCAAATAATCTGCTTTGTCTATAAGGAAAGAGAGGTGGGGGTGGCTTGCTCCTTTTGGGTGTCTAGGGCCCTGCTGTTATCAAACGTTTTAGAAGCAGAAAGGATTCAAAGGTCACACAAGAAAAGATTTGGAAATTATTGTATTTTCTCTGAAGGAAATGACCCATTGGACAGTCCCTCCCACCTGACATGCCACAAACAAGGTGGGCAGAGGGATTGTGTCCTTTGAAAGGGTATTTATGGGAGGGTGGCCATGGACAAAACTGGGGACCGCCAAGATGGGTTCCAGGCCTGGCTCCCCCCACTTCCAGTCAAAGATGCCTGGAGGTTCCAAGAACAGTGTCAAGTGTTTATTTGTTCCGCCTTGAGAAACAGAAGATCCCCGAGGAGGGTGATGGAAACAGGCCAAGGCAAACAGGGAGACACCGCCACACACACACCACTAGTTGCAGTAAGCCCCTCCCTTCAGGCACCCTAACCTAAGTACAAAGAGCTGGTTTGGTGTCAGCCTGGGGCTCTGGCTGGCCCCCCTCCCCTCTCTGTGGTCAGTGCAGCTTCTGGCCCACCGTGACTCCAGGTCCCAGCAGGAGGAGGGCCTCTGGGACAGAGACATCTCCTTTCTCTCTGGCCACCTTGATTCTCTCCCACCCCTGCAGGGCCACGGCTAGCCAGTCAGTCCATAAGGCCCCTTTCTGAGAATTAGATAAAGGCAACCCCTTCCTCAAGTCACTTGACTGCCATCTGCTGGGAACTTGTCTTAATACATTTACAAACCCATGACAGGGCCGTGTTGCCCTTGTGCTGTGTACAACTTGCTCAACTGTACGCGGAGCCTCTCCACCCTGCATCCTGAATCCCCCCCCTCATGTTTCTTTCCTGTATAACAATCCTAGGTATAATTAATACTAATAGCTGCACTTTATTAAGTGCTTACTTTGCACTATGGACAACGCTAAGTCCTCTCTATGCATTAGTTCAATTAATCCTTATGACCCTTCTCCTCCAAGAAGTAAGGACTGTCATTATCCCTGTTTTACAGGTGAAGAAAGTGAAGTGGAGAGAAATTAAATGACTTTCTGGTCACCCAACAAGAAAGCATTAGACAATCTCACCCCAATAAATTTAATTTTAAAATATACCGATTGCTCAAGAGTTTGAGCTCTGAGCAACAGCGGTTCGAGTCCCAGCCCGAGCTGAGCAGCCGCTGAGCTGCCAATAGGTAGCAGGATGGCTCAGCTAAAAGGAAAAAAAAATATATATATATATATATATATACACACACACACACACCGAAAGAAAAATGTATTACCTGTTTAAAGTCACCATTACATACATTGTAGGATAAAGATATGATCATTTGTTTGTAATGGTGGAATGTTTACATTATTTTGGGTTTGTGATAAATATATAGGGATGATCAGTTTTAATAAAATATGCATATAGGTAGAAAAAAAAGCATTAGAGTCAGGATTTGAATTCAGGCCCACCTCTAGAAATCAAGCTCTTAGCCACCACATTTCATCATTCTGACCCAACCCCATCACCCAGCGGAGCCCCATAGAGGCCTAATTTCCAATAAGCTCAGCAAATTCTTTCCCCTCAGGAGCCAGAGGAGGCAGAGAGGCTCCGTGAGCATTGTATCTTAGGATGTTGTTTCCCGTCCACATGGCTTGTCCAGTGGTGGAGTGAGTGAACCCTGTCCCCTCCCAGCGCACCTACGAGGCGTTCAGGAGGAGTGGGCCCAGGACCCCCAGCTGCAGCCGCTGAGCCTGCGCATGGGGACACTGCAGCGGAAGCTGGCACCGCTCCTGCACAGATCCATTGTCTACCTCAAGCTGAGCGACCCCGAGTACCTAAGAGGTAATGGCAGGGGGTGGAGTCCCATTTCTCCGGGGACACAGCCTCTGGGGACAGTGACTGAAATAACCTCAGGTGGACATCTGGCGCAAGGGAAGGTGCAGGACGGCCTGTAACTGACTGCGTCCGGTCTGCCAAGCGTGCCACAGGCTAACCCTGGGGAATGTCCGTTCTCCCTTGACTTCAGATTGAGATGACTTCTCCCACCCACACAGAGGGGATGGAAAGTAGGGAACGTGTCACCCCTCGTTTATTCAGCTCCTGCCCACTCTCAGGGGCCTTCCTCCTAGACCAGAAGGGAGGGGAGTTGTCTGTCCCAGAAGGTGGGACTCTAAATGGTGGTTCAGCCCTTTTCGCAGCCAATATTAGTATATTGCTGACATCTCTTCTGTGCCTTATAAAGCTGAGTCTCTTCTTGTCAGCCTTGAGTTACCCTACCAAGGGCCCCATCATATAACCCTGGCCTGAGGTGTTCCGAAGGGCGGGGAGGGATTATAAACCAGACCACCGTGGTCACCGGACCCTGTCTCCCAGGCTCACAAATCACGTCAGGCCCCACTGCATGTGACCACAACCCAGCCCTCCCTAGTCCTGGCCTCCCTCTCTGCAGTACAGGTCCCCCACCTTCTCCCAGGCCTGGTCCCTAAGACTCTCCTGGCCCCTGTCACCCTAAAGAAGCCCCTTGGCTGGGCATCTCTATTGTAGGAGCTCCAATTTCTAACCAAACCAAAGCAGTCAACTAACCTTTTTTTTTTAAGATTTTATTAGGGAATTGGGAAAGGGAACAGCGTTGGGGAATCAGGGAAGGGGAACAGACAATTTGCTGTCCTTTTTGTTCTTCAGTCTAGTTGTGGAGGACGTCGCTTCACTGGCCCATGTTGGTATTGTGATCATTGCACTCTTCCCGGCTGAGGCAGATCAGTCGCCGGCCATTGGACGGCTGCTCACAGTGGCTCACGGCAGCTCACGCTGGCTGCTGGCCACTCACGGTAGCCTACGGCAGCCCACTGCAGCCCTACTGCAGAATACGCCATCGCTGGCGACTCATAGCAGCCCAGCTCCAGGTCGAGCTGTTGTTCACCATCTTAGCTGTAGAGGGCGCAGCGTAACGGGCCCTCATGTGGGATCTGAACCAGCGGCCCTACTACTCAGAGCTTGCACTCCCAAGTCAACTCTTAACCAACGAGCCACTCAGCCGGCCCAACTAACCCTTTTTATACCTCTCAAGCTTCTACAGATGCAGCAGACTTAGCCAAAGCCTGTCCCAACACTATTCTAGTGATTTTTAAAAGTTTTTTGTTGTTTTTTTGTTTTTTTGGGTTTTTTTTTTTTTTTTAGAAAAAGAGCCTCCTGGGTGTTTCAATCACAATGCCCAACTAGCAGGCGAGGCTTAGAACCCTAAGCAGACACCAGTGTGTGGTCAGGGCTGCCCAGGGAGGGACACCCATTTCAATAGCTCTGAGCCACGGGACCCTGAGGCAAGGGGAGGGGGGTGCAGGGGTGGGGGCTGTTAAGCACAGTGTGGCCCGCTGCTCCTGGGTCTCTTCCCTGACCCCCTCCTCTCTGCCAGAGTTCCAGCCAACCACCCAGCCCGGGTTTTGGAAGCTCCCACACGTCTGGACACACATCAATGCCTCCATGGTATACCCCACGCTTGAGCCCCAGGACTCCTTCTCAGAGGAACAGAGTGACATGTGCCTGGTGCAGTTGCTGGGAACCAGGTGGGCACCCTGCACTTATCCCGCTTCCCGAAATTCCCAAGTGCTTTCCCTCTGCCTGTCCTCCTGTTCCACTCGCTCTCCAAGTCCCCAAGGGTTTGTGCAAAACCGGGAGCAGCTCCCTCAGAGCCACCCTGACAAGGCACTCTCCCACTCCCATCACATGTGAGTCTGCCCCACTCTCCACCCAAGGCCGCCAACCTGATCCAGCCACTCCCCATCTCCTGCCTGGACTCCCCATATCAGAGGGATCTTGTCCAAAACCACACCTGAACACCCCACCCCCAGTTCGAAGCTTCCTGTTTTTCTGAGGAGAAAGCCCTTCCACAGGTTCCTCCACTCCGGCCCCGGGGCCTCTTTTCAGACCCTCAGAGGCACCAGCTTCTGCCACTCTAAGCCTTTCCCTCTGTGGGGCCTCCTCTCACCCCCACCCGCCCCAGCCCTGTGCCTGAGTAACTGCTCACACCTAAGGACCAGCTCCAGCATCCTTTCTCCAGAACCTTCCCTGACTCCACTGCACAAGGCTGACCTCCCAGGGTGGGCTGCCTCGCCTAGCACCACCAGAGGTAGCCACAGAGGCAATACTCATGTACCTTCGCTCTGTGGTTCCATCTGGTCCACCAGGTTGTAGGTCTAGAAAGCAAGGCCCGAGCCTAGTTTAGCTCCCCATTTTATCCTGCTGAGCGCTGGGCTTAGAGCACATCCCCTAGGACAGCAGGGGACCCATGGGCAGAGGGGCAGCAGGTGCTCAGGCCCCCATCCTCTCAGCATCCTTCAAAGAGGTGTTTGGGCTAGGACACAGCTGGGCTCATGAAGGGTCTGCGCTCCAGTGAGGGACCCACCCTATGTTGCCCGGTCCCTTTTATGGGGCAGGCCTGGCACAGGGAGAATGGGTATGCTGGGTCCACACCCAGGATAGCTCCAGGTCACCTCCCTGTGCGGGTGGGGAGGGGGGTACTGATTTAGCCAATGAAGACACAGGACACCTGTGTTTTATGTGGCAGCCCCTTGGGCCCAGCTGGGTGCCTGGAACCTATGGGGTTCTAATAACTAATGAGGGAATCGGGACCAGGGAAGGCTCCGGGCCTTTGGGCTTCCTTCCTGAAGCAACCCTTAGCAGCCCGGAACCACCTCCTCCCCAGGACGGACGGCAGCCAGCCCTGCAGGCTCTCGGACTTCTGCAGGACACTCATGACCAAGCTCGGCTGCTCAGGCTACTGCCTGTCCCACCAGCTGCTTTTCTTCCTCATCGCCAGGATGGTGAGTGCCAGTGTGGGTCCAACCATGCCCCTCGGAGGAGAAAGAATGGTCAAAACAGCCCCACAGCAGTGTGGTTTTCTATGCTACACACCGGGAAAATAAGCGGGCCTTTGGACTTGTGCTTCGGACATCGGGAAGGAAAAGTGACAGTAGCCACCCATCCGCTGGCTATGAAATCCAACCAAACTAGTGAGGGGAGGGGAGAATGGGGATTCTGTGGGACAGAGAGCTTTGCATCCTGAACTGAATCAGAGGGCATCAGAAAAGCAAAAGGAGAGCGTCAAAGAGAAGCAGCAGGAAGAACTCAGTAAACAACAAATGGAAAAGGACTTAGAACAAAGTCAGTGGGTAGCCGCTTCCAGGGGACCAAACCAGCCCCACCCCCATATCTCCAGTGCCCAGTGCTCTTCCAAGCCCAAGAGCTCAAACTTTGCTAAATAATCATTTTTAAACATGTATTTCATTATAGAGAAAGACAGGGCTTGTTATCTCTGTTCAAAAATGTTCAGTTTCCAGAAATGCTTAGCCTAGAAGTGCCTTGCTGGTTTTAACAGACTCTTTTATTATTCTGTATTTGCAAGCCATCACAGACCAACAGTTTTGTAAACACAGGTAGAAAGCTAGCCTGATACATTGCTATAGACGTTTCTAAAGCCTGTTCTCATCTCCTGTCCTTCTCTCCCCGGCAACCAGTTCACAGCGCACACTTGGAGTAGCGCGGTAGCTGCAGCCCTGTTAGTCTGGAATCAGAATGTAATGACCGCAGCTAGCGGCTATAGAGCGCCCCCTAGTGTCAGGCACTTCCTAGTTATGGTATCGCCGCCCACCTGCCGGCGTGCCCCTCCCAGTGGTATCACCCTTTCCTTGTGAAGACCCTTGAGGCTCAGAAAGGTGAATTTAGTGGGCCAAGGTCATGGAGCTTCTAAATGGCAGAGCTGGGACTCAAACCCAGCTCTCTCTGATGCCCCAGCTGGCTGGGAGTGTGGGTGGGAAAGAAATTCTGGGGAAACGGGGAAAGACCTGGCCCAAAGACAGCCCCCCTTGCATTACCAGCTCAGAACAGCAAGTCTTTTCCTGTAACAGAGCATGCGTCTGTCACGGTTCTATCAACTTATTTTGTCCCCCTAGAAAGGGTGCACAAGGGGGCTGTTCCACCAGAGCCAACGCTACATGAACCTTTTCTGCGCCAAGATGATGGACCTGAACCGGAGAGCCGAGGCCATCGGATATGCTTACCCCACCCGGGACATCTTCATGGAAAACAGTGGGCATTCCGCTCTAGGGACAAAGCAGCAGCGTATCCCTGATTGTGACACACACACACACACACACACACACACACACACACACACACACACACACACACACACACACACACACACACACACACACACACACACACACACACACACACACACACACAGTAGAGCTGCCAGATTTAGTAAATAAAAAGTACAGGATCCCCAGGCAAATTTGAACCTCATATAAACCATGAATACATTTTTGGTGTAAGTATATCCCAAACATTGTATGAGCTATACTTGTACTTAGAATTTTTTATTTGTTCTTTATTGGAAACTCAAATTTAGTTGGGCATCCTGTATTTTATCTGCCACTGTTTTGACTGCTTTCTGCTCCCAGTGACGGAGCTCTGCACAGACTTATTCACTAACTGACTGGCAAACAGACACTCAGAGCCTTAGAAATGAGACAGAAAGCGGGTCTCTGGGTGGCTGCTCCTTGCTTGGGTGTCCAGAGCCCTCTACTGATCATTATTCTTGAGTGGCCTGGACCAAGGCCCTAAGTGGGAGCCCTGACCCAGGCCTGGGAGCCCCTGCTCACTAGGGCAGAGCTCAGGGCTGCATCCTGCCAGCCGCTGCATTGAGCACCCACCTCCAGTTGCTGCCTGGCCTCAGCAGGAGGAGGCAGGTGGCACTGTGGTGGCCTTGGGGCATGGGAGGAGGTGGACCTGTGCGGGCAAAACTACAGAGGGTCCCCTGTCTTTGCGTCTAGTCATGTTCTGTGGAATTGGTGGCTTCTCCGACTTCTACCAGCTCCAGTGGCTGGAGGCCATTCTCAGTTGGCAGAAGCCGCAGGAAGGATGCTTCGGGAGGCCTGGTGAGCTGCCCTTACACCCTGGTGGGGTCTGTATGCCCTAAGCCAGGTGGGGAAAGGATACAGTGGTGTTAGGGGCACAGAGAGAGATTGGCAGAACTCATGTGCATGCACATACACGAATACACACACACACGGAAATGGGCTCAGAACTTTGGAAGCCAAAACTTTGCAGGACGGGAGGCAGTCTTGTTGGAAGGTGCAACCTACGTTAACAAATTCATCCCTTCAACAAGTATTCCCTGAGCACCTACTGTATGCCAGACTGTTCTAGGCTCCAGGTAAACTAGGGCATTGAGAAAAAGAAGCAGAAACCACCTAAACAAACCAACACGTAAAATAACAGTGAGTTCTGAAAGGGCTGCTAAGGTGACACAGGCTGAGAAAGAAAAGAACATTGGGGGAGGGTTTTTAGGCAGAGTGGTCAGGGGCGATGTCTGGGAGGAGGTCACACAGAAGCAGAGAGCGGAGGATGCAGTTGTGTGACACTGGACAGCTGGTCCTCATTGGAGTAAGTTGCTTCACTGCTCTGAGCCTTGATTTTCCTCATCTAAATAAATGGGCATAATTATCTCCTTTCTAAACTGTAAGGAGCAGACATAATACCTGTGAAACCACCTGGCCTGTCCTGGGTACAGAGGAGGCTCCCAAAAAATGCTCACACCCTAAAAGAGAACCTTGGGATGCTCAAAGGGGCAAAGCTTTCGAAATATGAGAGCCTGTTTCTGAAATAGAGGGGTTTATAAAATAAAGACTCTCAGGCCCCCAGACCTATAGATTCAGCAGGTGGAGGGTGGGGCTGTGGAACCTGCAATTTTTAAAGGTTTTTTAAAATTAATTTTCAATTACAGTTGACATACAATATTGTATTAGTTTCATGAACCTGCATTTTTAAGGAGCTCCTCTGGCCATTTAGATGTGGGTGGTTGGGGGACCACAATTGGAGAAATATTAGTAGATGACAAATTTAGGCCATGTGGAAGGACCTGCAGCAGGGGCTCAAGGAAACTTCCAGAAGAGGCTCCAGATTCAAGAGAAGACCTGAGTTGCTTGAGGCGTTGTGAGGGGGAGGAGGTTTAGCAAATAATGTTTAACACTCCATCTTGAGAAGTTCCTCTTTCACTCTTCTCCCAGATGCTGAAGATGAAAAATTACCTAAAGACATTCATCACCAACAGCATTATCGGATAAGAGAAAAGAGGCGAGAAAAACAATTTGCAGGTAATAAAATTACCCGAGGGACCTTCTTGGAATGAAACCAAGACACCAAAGAAAGACTATACACAGGTCGCCCCAGCATCACTGAAGGGGCTAGGTCACAGGGCCCTTGTGTTTGGGGAGGTTGGGGGAGGGGGAAGGGTAGGAGTCCCTGATATTCTCTTCTTAGAAAGGAGGGAGTCCAGAGATATTGTCTCCAGTGAAAGGAACACAAAAGAGAAGTTTCAGCGTATTATGGAAAATCACAGAAATAACCCCACTCCATCCAATCTAGTCTGGAGAACAGAACCCGCATTGGGAACTTCCACAGAGGGAATTGAGTATAGGGAACTCATCTCAGAAGTGTTGCAAGAGCTGAAAAGAGAAAAAGTGAGAAAACCCAGAGATGACCCCCTGTGGGGTGCCACTGCCCTCCCTGGTAGCAGAGCTGGAGGGCCCAGGGGAGGAGGCGGTGTTAGCCGAATCTCAGGGGCTGGACACAGAGGAGACAGACAAGACCCGGGCTTCTCCCCTGGCCCCACCTGTGCTTACTGTTGATGGGCAAGGCAGCCTGGGAAACGTAGTTTGGAGGGCTCAGTGCACTGGGATTTGGGGCAAAGAAGGTCAGGGAGGGGATCTGAGAGCCAACAGGCAAGTGACCAGTGCAATCCCAGTGGCCACACGTCCTGCTGTCCCCAGCTTACTCCTATTGTCCTGGTGCCCTTATGAATAGTGTCCCTTTTCCTCCCAAAAGTGTCCTGGTTGAAATGATAAATTATGTGGTCAGCCCACCAATGCAGAAAGACTGAGAATAAGATATAACTGTATTGGGACAGACAGAAAAGTAAGACATAACAATGGAAGGAAGGGATGGAGAGAGGTAGGGAAGGAGGAGAGGACTTGATTTCAATCTTTTTGTTAATAAAAAAAATAAGTCGCTACAAGATGAAAGCAGAAAGGGAGGTAGAATAGCCAGCTCAGAGTAGATATCCAACTTACACTGGGGGATGATTCCCGTAACTAAACCTCTCACCATCAACCCCGCCATGGCTTCATCACCGACCTGCAGAGAGGTGAGAGGAAGCACAAAAGAGGGGCGTGGAAGCACAGATCTGATGGGTCCATTTTGTAGCTGCCACCAGGGGTTAGGCAGGGGAAAGGGGAGACTTTCTCAGGAGACTCCTAGAGGTCCCCTGCCCTGGAGACGCCCACCTGACACGGAGGGGGCTGGGACTGCCATGGTGGGTGGTAGGGGGCTTACTGCGCATACCCTGGGAGTTGGCTGCTCCCTAGAGACTGACAGCTGGAGAGGGAGCTGCAGAAATTCAAAAGCCCAAGGCCCTTCCTGGGGCCCCTGCAGATTGACCAGCAGCCTAGAAAATTGCCCAGGATGGAGCAGCCAGCATGCACCTTCCTTCACCATGACACACACCCATGGAGACTAACAGCACAGGATTTGAAGTCAGGCTGTCTGCGTTCAAATCTGCTTCTGCCCTTCCTCACTATAGGAGTCACTCAACCCATCTGAGCCTCGGTTTCCTCATCTGTACAATGGGAACCAAACAGTGCCTCCTTCACAGGGCTGTTGGGGTTAATATCAGATCACTGTGCACAGTGCTCCCTGTGGCATTTGACCTATGGTAGGCCACCAATAAGCATAGACTGCCAGGGTGAGTAATTACGGACCTTGAAATCTGCATTCTGCCTCCCTCCAAGGGGCCTGGCTGGGGTCCTTTTCTTCTCCAAGTCTGTGAGGGGAGAGGAAGGTCTTGGCTCCCTCTACCTGGTCAGAGACTAAAGATAGGCAGCCCAATTGGAGTTCAGAGAAGTAAATCACATGTAAGGGGTTCCCGTCTCAGGCAGATGCTCAAAGTCACGTGGGACTGGCAGGCCCGAGGCAAAAATGAAGGCAGCTCAAGTCCGGGTCAAGGAATGAGCTGTGTTGTCAGGGCTGGGAGCTCAGCTCTGCTACCTGAGCCTCAGTGTCCTCATCTATGAAATGGGGCAATGAGGTGTTGTCCTAGAAGATCTCACAGGTCCTGAAAGCAGGGAAAACTGGAAGGAGCGAGACAAGAGTGTGGCCTCAGGTCCGATCTCACAGCGGGGAGCTCCAGCGTGACGCTCACCACAGAGTCACCCTCCTGAGACAGGAGCCTGGCTTCTGTGTTACTGTGTGTGTTCCTGTAAATCATTGGGAGGAGGTGTAACCTCCACGTGAGGGGGCTCCAGATGTCGGAAGACATGTCTCTGGAGAAGGGAGCCATTAGCAACCAACACTCACGGCGGCTAGTGGATGGGTGTCTGGCCCAGCCAAGTGGATCCGCTGGCACCAGGCTGGCGGGGGGAATATCTGAAAAGCATGCATGCTGAACTGTGGCTGCCACCCGGCACTCACAGGGGGAACTCTGTCTCTCTCCCCAGATGGATGCTCCTCCCACAACACAGCCACAGCCGTGGCGGCCCTGGGCGGCTTCCTCTATGCCCTGGTACAATACCCGCTAGCAAACGGAGAGCTGCGGCAGGCCACACCGGTACCACCAACGGCCACTGACATGAATGGTTCCACGCCTGCCATCCACCAGGAAGATAAAACCCAGGCCTTTGGTCCCTCCTTCTGAAATCCTTCGTCACACCCTGAGAAGGAGACGCCCAGCTTCATCCCCTCGGGGAGCAGGGCCCAGGGGGGGGGGGCTGGGATGATCCAGGTGTGGCAGCAAATGAATAAATTCAGAGTGCAGTTAAGGCCTGTTTCTGAACCCTTTGGGCAACTTCTAGGGCCGTATTCCGATTCTTCAACTCCACGCAACACAAATTCTGAAGAGACCTGTAAACTTGTGTCTTGAAGACGATTTGTTCAAATGTCAACTGTTGCATCTTCCCCAGTGAGCGAAATAAGGGGCTTGAAAATACTAGTTTAAGTCATGACCTAGAGCTTGAGATAGGACCATGAACGGCAGCACTTAAAATCTTTATAACTGATCCAAAGATCTCCGTGGTGTCACGAAGTCACATCAGGTCACGGTTATGTCATTTTACAAAAGACAGTGTAACATAATGGTGAACAGTGTGTTCTGTGCCCTGGTGACCTGAGTCCAGGTCTGTTATCCCACTAATTAGCTCAGGAGTCTGGGTAAAGTCACTTAGCCTCTCTCTGACTCCATTTTCTCATCAGTACAGTTGGGATAATTGGGATAATTAATTGAGGTAATTATAGCACCTACATCAATATTAGCTCCGCTGCTGTGAGAACTTATGTTTGTAGAGTACTGAGAAGGGTACCTGTGACGTAGTAAGTGCCAGGTAAGTGTTATCTGCTATAATGGTGATGATGTCAAATTACATGGAGGCTTGTTCAGAAGCAGCAGGAAGGGGCAGCTGACCTGTCAATGTCTCTTTCACACCCAGCTTGAGAGTCTGCCCTTGTGTTCTGCCTCCTCAGTGTGCACATATGTTAATGTGTCCACTGGAGCTCTAATCTAGTGTTTGAGAAAAGACCTCCTGGAACCTGATTATGGGTCCAGGCCCTGTCCGTGGTGCTGATTTCAAGCTGCAACTAGACAGGCATCAGCATTAGACTCCAAGGTAGAAAAACCCAGTCCTTGGTCTGGAAAGCTCTTTAAGTCCATCATCTTCCTTTGCTTCAAAGTGGGGAATCACTGCTGATCATCCTTATATGACAATATAGTTGTATTTGAGAACATGAATGAAAATACCCGACAAGGGGAGGGGGTGTCTTCTAAATCTTTTCTTTAGGAGTTAGTCTCCTGTGTCTAATCCTCTCTGCCACTCTGCTCCTGGATGCTTTCCCGGAAATTGCTCATAGATAGTCAGGCCCACAGCAATGTTCCTGGATTCTCTTGGTGAATTCGACCTGCTTTTAAGGTTGTTTTCTTGGGGAACAAGGGCCAGAATTTAATACCCACCTGGCACTCCTTACCCATCAGGATGTCTTTCACATTGCCTCGCAAACAAAAGTTTACCAAGACAGACACACGACCGGATTAAGGGGGAGTTGTGCCCCCACCCCCACCCCTTGTCCCCTTCCTTCCTGAATTCGGTATGGATTAACCACTGGAACCCAACACCTATTCTTTTTAGAAGGCTTAAATTACCAAACCAAGGTGGGGAAATGGCTCTAGGAGAAACCTGAGCTTACAAGTCACTTTCAAGAAAAGGAATCCCAATGCAAAATGGGGAAAGTGGGATAAGACTTTCTCTGTCAAGTCAACTTAGTATGAATCAGTTTGTGGGAACAACTTGTGTAGGACAGTGTGTGACACTAAATATGAGAGAAGAGGGAAGGGGAGAAAAATCACAATTAGCAAGAGTCAAGATGAGCTCAACCAGCCTTTCCTGTTCTCTGTCTCAGCAGTGGTGCCTCTATTTCCCTCTGACACACCACTGGTCAGCTAGACTGAACCAAACAGCATTTCACCAGGACCCCCTGCATTTCCCAGGTCTTAAATTAATCTCTTCCTTCCATCTGGATTAGCTGTTCTGCCTCCAGCCCCCAATTGAGTTAAGATTTTATTTGTCCTGTAAGATTCAGCTGGAATGTCATTTGTCCTATGAAATATTCTCCCACCCTCCCACCTACCTCTCTTCTTCTATACATGGCTCTTGGGCACCTTGTTCTGGCATTTATTTGTGTACTTGTCGATTCTACCATCAGACTGTAAACTGCTTTAGGGCATGGATGATAGCTTGCTCCTATCCACGTGCCCAGCTCCTGCTAAACTGCCTGGAACATAGAAGTGTTTAATAAGTGTTTGCAGAATTAAGTAGTGGGGTGGGTGTGACAAAAGAAAAAAAAACAGCCTCCTTGAATTGTTGAATCCAAGTCTTAGCTGGTGGAAGAGACCTTGGCCTGTGAGCGTTGCTGAGTCTGGTCTGGCCAGCTGCGAGCCCTCCAAGTCCACGCAGAATGAGGGAAACCCCTAATGTCACTCCCCAGACATGGAGCATACAACAGAACCGCTTGCCTCTCAAAACCTCAAAACCAGTTCTAAGATATTGTAAATAGCCTCATAGTGGTTTATATAATAGAGAACACAACACAAACAGAAGAAGATGATCTCGGTTTATAATTCCTAAAAAGGTTTTATAAAAAGCAACTTTGGTTTTCCAGTCTCCGAAACAAATATGCCTTCCCACTTGAGAAAGACGTTACTTTGGCAGGAAAGCAGAGTTCGTGCTTCAAAAACCAGTTGTCTCCTCTGCTTACAGCTGTGTGACCGTGGGCCAGAGCCTGCCCTCTCTGTGCCTCCATTTCCTTTTCTATATAAGGAATAACTTAACACCCACCTTGTAGGATTCATGAGGGCATCCAATAAGATGGTGCAGAGTAAGCCCCTGGAACAGTGCCTGACACTTAGATGAGCTCAAATGGCTATCCATGTTAGTTTTCTTAGAAAACCCAGCATCCACACCACCCCTGGGGTTTTATCAGTCACCTATTATTATTTACTAGCAAGTGAGGTCATCCCCACCCATTCGTTCAATAAATATTGAATGAGGTAACAGTAAAATGCTTGCTTGGTCTCTCTGACTCCATCCTATACCCATGGCCTTCAGGCTAATAGCTCCTGTTTTACACAAGTAATCATTAGAGAAATCTGCTTGGGGCTTGAGATTTTACAAAAACAGCCCCTCCCGTTTCCTTTCCCTTGACGTAAAAGAAGCCTGAGCTCTGTACTTTCTTTTTTTTTTTTAAGATTTTTGTTGGGGAATTGGGGAGAATGGGAACAACACTGGGGAATTGGGGGATGGGAACAACACTGGGGAATTGGGGGAAGGGGAACAGACAAGTTGCTGTCCTTTTGTTCCTCAGTCTAGTTGTAGAGGACGTTGCTTCACTGGCCCAAGTTGGCACCATCATTGCGCTCTTCCAGGGCGAGGCAGATCAGTCGCCGGCTTCTGGACGGCCGCTCACGGCGGCTGCTGGCCACTCAAGGTAGCCCATGGCAACCCACTGCCACAGGGGCTGCAGCCTACTCCGTTGCCGGCAACTCACGGCAGCCCAGCTCCAGGTTGAGCTGTTGTTCAGCATCTTAGCTGTAGAGGGCAGTGTCTCTGGCCCTCATATGTGGGATCCGAACCGGGGCCCTCTGGCGTCCCAAGCCAGCTCTTAACCATCGTACCACTCGGCCGGCCCAGCTCTGTACTTTCTTGAGATGGATTTGAGAAGCTGCTAGGGCTCCCATCTTCTCTGTTGGCGCTTTCTCAATCAGAAAACCTTTCCTTATTCCAACCTCTGACGTTTGAGTTTTGGCCTTTCAGAGTGTCGGGCACACGGATTTGGCATTGGTAGCACTGACAGCCCAGCCTGCTGTGTGCCACGCTTTGCTCTGGGGATGGGAACACAGCAGAGAACACAAACAAGGACTCTGTTCCCATCCATTTATTCATGAAATATCTGGGAAGCACCTACTGTGTGCCAGGCACTGTGCAAAGTGCTGGGGAAAGCAGTGAAAAGCAGACATGGTCTCTGCCTTCTAGAGATGACAGTCAAGGTAGGAGGCAGATATCGGGAATGTTATAATCTAGCAGATCAAGCTTATGGTAAGGAAAGACTGGGTGCACTGCTTAAACATTTTATTCTTTGTCTCAATTTATAATCGTATACCAATGCATAAACGTGGCTCATGTTCTAGGTTAGTGGAGGAAACAAAGATATTTGCTATATTCTATGCCTAGCAGGAGAGCCTGCTAAACGCATGAAAAAGCTACACAGCAACAGAAGAGGTGCCTTCAGGAAACGTGTGCTCCACAGCTGAAGGGGGCATGTGAACTCTCAGAGGCAGGCAGGTGGACTGAGGGCTCCGGGGGGGGGGGGGGGGAGGCCACATCCCCCAACGCCCATCCCGTCAGCCTCAGGCTTAACACCCCCTCTTGCGGTTTGCAACCACTCCTTCCCACCCCCACCCCAGGCAGCCACTAATCTACTTTCTGTCTCTGCAGATTTGCCTTTTTCCCGACATTTAATACAAATAAAGTGACTCCACAAATTTTTTTGCGGGGGTGGGGGGGTAGGGGGGGTGACTAAAATGTCCTAACAGTGGACTAAGGTAATGCTGAGATACCTCTGTACATCCAAGTGTACACTTAAAACAGGTAGTTTATGGTATGTAAATTATACCTCAATAAAAGTGTTTTGTTGGGTTTTATTTTTTTGGTGGGAGGGGGTTGTTTGGTTTTAAACAAACCATCTAATGGCTTCCTGTTTCACTTGGGCTGACATCCAAACTCCTTTGCCAGGAGCCCTGAGGGATCTGGCGTTGGTCTGGCCCTCCCATCTTCACCCCCTCCGCACTCTCGCTCTCCTCCCTGGCCGATTTCCTCCTCTCCCTGAGCTCTGCCTACAAGGCTCTGGCCCCCATCTCCCCACAGCTGTCCCTTCTATCCTCTCCTTTCTGTCTTTGTCTGAATGAGCTTACTGAGGCCTTCCCTGTCACCCCCATGACACTGTTCTCTCTCCATCCTGCTTCTTCCCGACTCTCACCACGCTTGCCTGTTTCGCCATTAAAATCTAAGCTTCAGGGCCGGCCGAGTGGCGCGATGGTTAAGAACTGGCCTGGGACACCAGAGGGCCCCGGTTTGGATCCCACATATGAGGGCCAGTGACACTGCCCTCCACAGCTAAGATGCTGAACAACAGCTCAACCTGGAGCTGGGCTGCCATGAGTCGCCGGCGACGGCGTATGCTGTAGCCCTTGCTGCAGTGGGTTGCCATGGGCTACCGTGTATAGCCAGCAGCCAGCATGAGTGGCCAGCAGCCGCCGTGAACGGCCGTCCAGAAGCCGGCGACTGATCTGCCTCGCCTGGGAAGAGCGCAATGATGGTGCCATCATGGGCCAGTGGAGCGACGTCCTCCACAACTAGACTGAAGAAAAAAATGACAGCAACTTGTCTGTTCCCCTTCCCCCAATTCCCCAATAAAAATCTTTTAAAAAAATAAATAAAAATCTAAGCTCCAGGAGGGCAGGGTGGGTCTGTCTGTTTCTTCAGCACCTAGCACATAGGAGGAGTTCACGCTGTCGAATCCACACCCCACACCTGATGGGGGAACCTGGGTGAGGATGCTAAGAGGGGGACCAAGGTATTCCAAATGAAGAATAAGTGTGAGCAAAGGCGAAAGCCCTGAGTCTAAGTTAGCTCGTTTTGGCTGGAACTGTGGATTGGGGCTTGTGAAAAGAAAACTGAGGCTTATTTAACATTTTAAGAGTTTATTTGAGCAAAAATTGATTCAAATCAGCCAGCACCCAACTGGAAATGGTTAGGAGCACTCCCCTGAGAGCCAGGGGAAGGACTCCTATAGAGAAAGTGGAGAAGCAAAGTAAGGAAATTGATTGGCTAGAGCTTAAAGCCTAGTTAGCTGTTTATGATTGGTTGTCCTTAGCATCTGATTTCGTAACCTTGTGGCATTTACAGGTTAAGTTTTGGTTTGCTTACTTTACAGGCAGCCACAGCATTAGAGCCACATCAGTCTAAAGACTTCCTTGTTTAATTAATGTAGCAGGTTGCTCAGTTCAAATGAAGAATTTCCGTGGTATTTATGTACTTAGAACAACTTGGCAAAGGAGTGACAAACATTAAAGTAGGGGGAAGACCAAATGTCAGAACTCGCCAAGGACAACTGCCTGCCACCCACCAATTCCTGGTTGACAAAGAGGACTTTAGATATAGGGAAGTTGGTGGCTGGCCTTGGCTTGTTTGCTGATGGTTTTTGGCAGCTTGAATATAAAGATCAAAAAGACATAATCCCTCCTCATCAAGGTATTTGCGTCAGGCCTGGTAATTTAATCCCCAAGAGAAACAGTCATTTTGAATGTGGTTAACTAACTTCCCCCACAGGCCACAGAGCCACTCTTGGGGGCCTGTCGCATCCCACACGACATGGGCAATGGGAGAACGAGAGGAAGCGGCAAAGGGTTAAGAAATAAAGAAACAGCAGCCAATAGTTAAATGAGTGAGGGGCCAAGGGTCTCCAGCCTTGTGGACTAAGGAGCCCCGAATCGGGCCAACACGCCGCTTTTATTTCTCCACGTACCCGGAAGTAGCATTGTTCTCTCCACAGTCTGTGAGTCTCATCCCTGAGAATTTGCTCAAGCCAGATTACCCATGCCTGCAAGCTGCTATTACCGAGTCCTCCTGCAGTGATAAGACAGATGCTCTGCCTTCACACACCCTATACACACACAACCCCAAGAAGACAAGATTATTATGCTGAGGACCGATCATCAGGTCACTTCCCAAGCAGGTTGAGGGAAGGAATGTAGCTACAGGGGCAGAAGACCTCTAGTCTCTTTGGGGGCAGGTGAGGACCCATGCCCACCTCCATCAGCCCCGAGGTTTCTCCTGATGGCTCCCATGTGACTGTGTTTATCTTAGGTTGTTCCTTCCGCGAGGAATCTTACCCATCACTGACTAACCAGCCATCTTTTGGGGCCAAACAGGGAGACGCAAGGTGTATGAGCAGTGTCCTCAAAAGGGTCAGCTTAGGGTTAAGCTTGGGGGGACAGACAGCTGGACAGCTGCATGGCAACAGGTGCCCATTTGAGGTCCCTGACTATATTAATTCAGACATTAAGGTGTCAGCTCTGCTGCGCACTCTCTGAAGCCTTCAGGGAAGAATCTGTCCATGTCTCTCTCCTCGCTTCTGGTGTTTGCCAGCAATCCCTGCATTCCTCGGCTTGTAAATGCATCACTCCAGCCTCTGCCTCTGTCTACACATGGCCTCTTCCCTCTGTGTATCTCTCTGTGTCTCTTCTCCAATCAGACTGGATTTAGGACCCACCCTGTATCACCTCATCTTAACTCATCACTTCTGCAAAAGATTGTAACTTCCAAAGGTCACATTCTGAGGTTCTGGAAAGGATGTGAATTTGGTGGGGACACTATCCTACCCAGTATACTGACCGACTGGCTTTTAGAGGCAGTGCCTCAAAGAGACACCTGAGTTCAAGCACTCATCATGCTGATTGTGGACAGGAAGGGTCTGGCTTGACCCTGAGTACCCATTGGTACCAAAGGCCAACCAGACTTGTGCTGGCTTCTGGCCCGTGCATTGCACTGGCACCAACAGGCTGCCTAACCCTGGACACTGCCTTGGACCAGAGGCCCGAGAGTAAGTATCCTCTCAAAGGAAGGCTGAAGCACATGCTACAAAATAACAGGTCAGCTTCATGGTCCAATGTGTGCAGGTACCCAGGGCCTGTGCACAGAGGGGTCCCGCACTTGCTTTCACACTCTGCTCTCCCCATCTTTAAATTCTTAATATTTTAACAAGCATCCCTGCAAATTATGTAGCTGACCTGCCTGTCCTCTTCCAAAATGTCATGCTCATTTAAGACAAAGAAAGGCTGAGGAACTGTTCCAGATTCAGGGAGACCAGAGACATGACAACTACATTCAACTCCCGGATTGGCTCCTTGGGTGGGTAGGTGGCAGGGAGATGGGGGAGCTGAGGTGGGGATAGTTGCAATGGACTGTTAAAAAACAAAAGTCAACTGCCTAAATTTGAAGTTCTAATTGGCTTTATTCAATGATTCACGAATTGGGCAGCATCCCACCTAGCAAAGCTGAAAGGAGCTTGGAGCAGCTGTGTAAAGTGGGAGGCTTTCATAGGCAGAAGGGGAAAAAAGAGTAGATCGTTTCAGGCAAGATGACCTCAAGAGACCAAGGGGTCTGTCAGGCACATGTCGATGTAAGAACATCCAAACCTGTAGAGAATTTTTATAATAACTTATTTGAGCCAACAGTTATTTGAGGATATGCCTGAAAGCAAGATCTCAACAGACTGAGAAAAATGCTTCAGAGGATAACAGTTTGCAGTTTCTTTTATGCATTTGAGGTTAAGAAGAGAACATAAAGAAGATACAGTTAAGTCCCCAACTTATGAACGAGTTCCGTTCCAGGAGAACGTTCGTAAGTTGGATTCGTTCATAAATCAGATTCGTTCGTAAGTCAGACAAAGTGAGTCTTATACACCTTTGACACAGATATACAATGGAAAGCCAATGGTTGAACAATTCATGTTATAAGAACAAGCGATGTCTAACATCTTTTTGCCTCAGTCCGATCTCTCAATTATTTTCACTTTTGTTTCCATGGTTATTGCTTTGCACTTCCTAGCAGTCCCCTCCACATCACCATTGCTTTTCCTCTTGCTTCCGGACATCCTAGGCTCTGATTGAACACTGTACTACTGTACACTATCGCACTGTACAGTAAGCGCACAGCAGCACAACTGTGACAATGTCCGGCAGACACGTGAGCTATTTCCGCAATTTGTTCGCATCTACGAATGTTCGTAATGCGAGGTCCGTTCCTATCTGCGAAAGTTCGCAACTCGAATGTTCATAAGTCGGGACTTACTGTACATGAAAATGGGAGAAAGCAAGTGGGGATTGTATTACAAAATGGTTAAAATATGTGCTCTCTTGAGGGTGGTCATGCTTTAGAAGGAGGGATCTAAAAGGGGGCATTTCAAAGGTGTGTTAACCTAGATGCACAGAAACAATGGATGAGGCTTGCTTAAGGCAAAGATAAGCCTTTTACTAAAGAAGTTATATGCCTGGGGCATGACTGCCCACCTGCCCCATTAGGAATTTAGGATCAGATCACCCTGTGAGGTTACTTTCTGTAAGACGTGGTTTTTGTCCACACACAATTACCTCAGTAGTGCTGACCAGGAAATTCCTGACTGACTGGTTAAGATTACCTTCCTGGGAGGGGCTGAAACTGCAATTAGGTTATATATTAAGTTTCCATTTAGTGATGTAGGGTTTAGCACTGGTGATCCATTTTGGGCCTGTTGTCTCTTTTTTAATGAGACATTATAGGGACAATTGGCAAAATTCTAATGTGACCTGTGGCTTAGTTAATAGAACTCTACCAATATGAGCGTCCTGATTTTACTTGGCCTGTGGTTACGTAAGAAAACGTCCTCGTTGGTAAATACATAATGAAGTATTGAGGTGAAGGATCATAATGTCTGCAACTTGACAGCAAATAGTTCAGGGGGAAAAACATTGTATAGGAATAAAGTACAAACAATGGGGCAAACGTTAGCAATTGGGAAAGATAAGTAAAAGGTACACAGGAGTTCTTTATACTACACTTGCAACTTCTGTAGGTTTGAAATTACATCAACATAGAAAATTCCCGCCACCACCCCCAGCACCACGCCCCCTTCTCAAAAAAGCCCAGTAGATTACAGGACCAGATCGGGCCCAATCAGATTTCCGAAGGAAGGTAAGCAATTCTGTCAGAGCGAAAAGCTGCCACCAGAGGTCTTGAGTAACGTGGGTCGGGCCCACGTGACCCGAGGCCCAGGTCCAACATGGCGGCCCCCATGGCTCGCTGGCTTCTGTATTTCCTTGCGTTGCTCAGCTTCATCTGGGAAGCGTCCGGCGGCTTCGGTTGGGGGTGAGTACAGCTCCCCGGGTGTGCGCTTGGTTCGGGGGTCCCTCCGCCCAGGACACAGCCCTGGGAGCTCACGGCCGCCCCCACCCCACTCCCCGCAGGCCCTCCCTAGACGACGACTTGCTGCTGCCCTACCCCCGCCTGCGCGCGCGCCCCGCCCGGGACTGCGCACGGGTGCGCGTCGGCAGCCGCGAGCACGAGAGCTGGCCGCCTTCCCCCGCGACCCCCGGCGCCAGCGGCGCGGCGGTGCGCACCTTCGTCTCGCACTTCGCGGGCCGCGCGGTGGCCGGCCACCTGACACGCGCCGCCGAGCCCCTGCGCACCTTCGCCGTGTTGGAACCCGGCGGGCCCGGTGGCTGCGCATCGAGGCGCCGCGCCACCGTGGAGGAGACGGCGCGGCCGGCCGGTTGCAGCGTCGCCCAGAACGGCGGCTTCTTCCGCATGGGCACCGGCGAGTGCCTGGGGAACGTCGTGAGCGACGGGCGGCTGGTGAGCAGCGCCGGGGGGCTGCAGAACGCGCAGTTCGGGATCCGCCGCGACGGGACCATGGTCACCGGGTGAGGAGGCAAGGAGCCCCGTGACTGTCGAGCAATAGGGCCTGAGCTTTGGGTCGTAGCCGTGCGGCTGTGTTTGAGTCACCTAACCAAGCTGAGCCTCCGTTTCCTCTGCAGAAGGGAGATAATTAAGATAAATTCAGATTGTGTATGTGCAGCAAATCAATGAACAGGGTGAACCGATTGTAAAGTTGATCATAGGGAGAGTTATCAGGAAAGGCTTGTTTGAGAAGGTGACCTTTGAGTTGAGACCTGAAGTTTAATCACAAGTCAGTGAGGGTCAGAACTGGAGGAAGAGCATTGCAGGCAGAAGGAACAGCACTTGCTAAGGCTCAGAGGTGCATAGGAGCTTGGTGTGTGTGTGTGTGTGTGTGTGAGAGGGGCTGCAGAAAGGAGCAGAGAGAGTATCAGAGGATGAGAGGACTGACTGGTTATTTAAAAGCTTGCTCTAACCCTGGCTGGAGGGGCCATAGTAAAAGCAAGGAGGCCAGTTAAAAGCTGTTATGAACATCAGGTGGTCGTTTGGCCAGGATGACGGCCTAGGAAATTGAGGGCCATAGATAAACTTGAGATCTGTTGGGGGTGGTTGTTTCTATTAAATGAAGTGTAGGCTGGACCTCGTAGACTGTTTAGAAGGCTGCTCTCAGGATCAGGAGCAGGCACGTTCCTGGGGTTAGGAGGAGGAATCTAGCAGCCAGGCTTTTGGGGACGGGGCAGGGAAGGAGCCCCACTACCTGCAGTTGCCCCCACTGGTAAGTGAACCTCACACCTTCCCTGTGTCCAGGTACCTGTCTGAAGAGGAGGTGCTGGACACTGAGAATCCATTTGTGCAGCTGCTGAGCGGGGTCGTGTGGCTTATTCGCAATGGAAGTGTCTACATCAACGAGAGCCAGGCAGCCGAGTGTGATGAGACACAGGAGACAGGTGGGGTGGGGTGGCAGCAGCCCTTCTGAGAACCAGGACCGGTGGGGTCATGTGGGAAATCTTTCAAGTACGATTGTAGACACTGGGGATCAGGGATTAAGACAGATAAGGTTCCTGGTCAATTTATACAAGAGGAAATAGGTATATAATGTGCTAAAAAGAAGGGGTAAGTGCTAAGAGAGAAAAATAAAGTTGGGGGACGGGGAAGGTGGAAGAAAGGAGCTACGGCAAGGGAATAGAGAAGGGCTGCTAAAATGTTTGTGGACCAGCGGCATCTGCGTCACCCAGGAGCTTGCTATAGATGCAGAGCTTTAGGTTCGCCTCAAACCTGCAAGAACAGAATCCCTAGGAAAGCAAGCTTGTGTGTTTTAACAAGCCCCCTGGGTGATTTTGATGGACACTCGAGTTTGAGAACCACTGGGATGTGGAATGCTGGGGCGGGGAAAGGCCCTAATGTGGAAACAGGCTATTTTAGAATGAGCAGTCAGGGATGGTGGCCTCATGGAGGAAGTGACTTAGATAGGAAGGAGCAAGCCACGGAAGAGCTGAGGAGAAGCACAGTCCACCCGGAGGGAACAGAAAGTGGCTGCAGGGTGGTGAGAGGGGAACCCCGGGAGACGAGGCGGGAGGAGCACGCCAGGATGATCATGCTGGGCCTTGGTGAGGTGTTTGGATTTTGTTCTAAGAACAGTGAAAGGCATAAGAGGGTTTTCACCTGGAGGCTGACATTACTTGATTAACACATAAGAACCCTTTGGCTATTATGTGGAGACTGACTGGAGTGGGGCAGTGGGGACGCAGGGAAACTCTGGATGCTCTGGACTGGGAGGTGGTGGTGGACTGGCAGGAAATGGTGGGCAGAGCCCAGAAGGCCTCCCGAAGGGCCAGTGATCAACCAGGCTGCTTCTCCTTCAGGTCCCTTCAGCAAGTTTGTGAACGTGATATCGGCCAGGACAGCTGTAGGCCATGACCGGAAGGGGCAGGTGGTGCTCTTCCATGCAGACGGGCAGACGGAGCAGCGGGGGTGAGTGCTGGAAACCAGGAACTCTGGGCGTGGCCTGAGTCCTGCTTTGAAGAACTTGAACCCACCGACGGCTGCCCTTCTGACTCTCAGCCGTCCCCTGCCTTCCCACAGGGAAAGAGTCCCTAGATCTGTCCCACTTCCAAGAATCCTCCTCCTCCACATATACCCTCTCAGTCTCCCCAGCTTAGGCCTCCTCCTTCCGGAATGGGGCAAAAGGAAATGATCACAAAGTTAGCAGGGAGACAATCTCAGTTCCAGTCTCTGCTTGGCTGGCTATCTGCTAGCTCTGTGGCCATAGACAAGTCACTCAAGCTCTCTGAGCCCCAGTTTCCTCTATAAAGAGAGTGTATTAATTTGCTCTTGCTGCATAACAAATTAGCACCCAGTTGTTAGATCATAGCTCTGTAGATAGGAGTCGGAAGGGCCCACTGGGCTCCTGGTTGAGGGCATCCTGTGGACAAAGTCGAGCTGTTGGCTAGGTAGGACGCTTATCTGTAGCTCCTGGGAAAGAACCTTCTTCCCAGCTCATTCAGGTTGTTAGCAGATTGCAGATCCTTGCGGCTGTAGGACTGAGGTCTCTGTGTCATTGTTGGCTGCCAGCTGGGGCCTCGGCTCCTAGGTGCCCCCCATTCCTCCTCATGTGTGTACCCTTCCCATCTTCACGCCAGCAGAGGTGTGTCAAATCCCTCTGACCCCCTTGTATTTCGTATTTCTAATCTCTCTCACTTCCTTTCCTGCCACGAGCCAGAGAAAGTTCTCTGCTTTTAAGGACTCTTATGATTCCATTGGGTCCACACGGATCATTCAAGACAGTGTCCCCATTTATGGACACAGCTGCGCCATGTAACATCACGTAATCACGGGAGTGATCTCATTATCTTCACAGCTTTTGGTGATTAGGACAGGACATCTTTGTAGGCCATTTGGAATTTGCCTGCCACCAATGTCATGATACTATCCACCATGGAAAGTAAGAAGAATTAAACTGGAAACTGGTAGGTACAATCAGCAGCCCTGTTCTTTTGCTGCAGCATCAACCTGTGGGAGATGGCAGAGTTCCTGCTGAAACAGGACGTGGTCAATGCCATCAACCTGGACGGAGGGGGCTCTGCCACCTTTGTGCTCAATGGGACCTTGGGCAGTTATCCATCAGATCACTGGTAAGCACACCAGAGCCCCAGGTCCAAGTCCAGGCATGTCCCCGACTGTCTCGTTCAACAGATATTGAGTACTTGCCATGTGCCAGATCCTGGGGATTCAGCAGTAAGCAGGAAGAGCCGAGCTGCCTGCCTCTCACTGCTTACAGGAATTATACGTAGCATACCAGTACTACCTACGCTGGTGAAAGGGAGTTGATGGGTCAGGAAAAACCTCTCTGAGGTTAATGAAGTCTGAGTTGAGATCTGAAGGAAGAGAAGGTGGCGAGGCAGGGTGTGGGAGAGCCTTCTGGGCAGCAAGAACAGGATGTGCAAAGGCCCTGGGGTGGGAGGGATTGTGGGATTGGGAGGAACCTATAAAAGTCTGGAGGTGGGACAATGGAGAGAGAGGCAACTCTCATGGGCTGCAGAAGTGGGGTTGGAGGGACTGGCTGAGGATGGTCAGCACCTCATCCTCTCTTCAAACACTGTGCCCCTTTGCAGCCAGGACAACATGTGGCGCTGTCCCCGAAGTGTGTCCACTGTGGTGTGTGTGCATGAGCCCCGCTGCCAGCCTCCTGACTGCAGTGGCCATGGGACCTGCGTAGAGGGGCGCTGCCAGTGCACGGGGCTCTTCTGGCGGGGCGCTGCCTGCGACAAGCTGGACTGTGGCCCCTCCAACTGCAGCCAGCATGGGCTCTGCACAGAGAGTGAGTCAGGGCTCTGGGGAGTCAGCTCTGACCTGGGTTCCCAGCTGTCCCCGCCCAGCCTGGGCCCTCACCTGACCTTCTCGGTCTTGTCTTGGCAGCCGGCTGCCGCTGCGAAGCTGGATGGACAGGGTCCAACTGCAGTGAAGGTAAAAGCCAGCAGGCCAGTCCCTCCCCAGCCCCTGGGCACATGGGGAGAGGGTGAGTGTGGCAGCTGCCTTCATCCTCGCCTCCTGGTCTGCACGTTGCTTGCCTCGTGTCTCTCGTTCTCACCGCACATGTAAATCACTGCATTAGTGTCCTGGGGCTGCTGCAACAAATTCCACAAAACGGGCAGCTTAAAGCAACGTATTCATTCTCTCACAGTCCTGGAGGCCAGAACTCCCAAGTCAAGTTGTCAGCAGAGTCCTGCTCCCTCTGAAAGGTCTAGGGGAGGCTCCTTCCTGCCTCTTCCAGCTCCTGGTGGCTCCCTGCAGTCCTTGGCTTGTGGCCACATCACTCCAATCTCTGCCTCCATCTTTACATGGCCTCCCTGTGTGTTCAGCCTCCTTCTCTGTTCTCTTACAAGGACTCCTGGTCACAGGAGGTAGGGCCCACCCTAAATCCAAGATGATCTCATCTCGAGAGCCTTAACTTAATTGTATCTGCAAAGACCCTATTTCCAAATAAGGTCCGATTCACAGGTTTTAGGGGTTGGGACGTATCTTTTGCGGGGACACAATTCAACCCACTACAACCATCCACAGCTTAAACCCTTCAGTGGCTTTCGCACTTAGTGAAAAACCTGAGCTCCTCAGTGTGAGCTGCAGTCTCCGGGTGCTCGGGCCCTGCCCTGCTCCTCTTCTTTTTCCGCTGGAGGTTCTATCCTCAGAGACCTCCGTGCCCCACCCGCCTGGTGGTTTGCTGCTGCCACAAGGTCCCTGGGGTGCTTGTCCCCACTGATACTTTGACGTTTGCTTTCTGGCTTGCTGGTCGCCTGCCCTCCTAGACTGGAAGCTCCTTGAGGGCACAGCCGCAGGGCCTGGCACATTCTCAGTCACTACCTGTTGGGAGAATATGAGCTGAAAGGCCACGCAAGGTGACAGGTCCATTTGCAGCCCTGTTGGCCCCAGCCTCGGCGGGACAGGGCTGGAGTTTGCAAAGACCTCCCTTCCCCCATCCCAGCTTGCACCAATGGCTCTTTTGGGGAGGACTGTGCCAAGAAGTGCCAGTGTCAGAATGGAGCTGCCTGTGACCCAGCTCAGGGGACCTGCACCTGTCCCCTTGGCTTCACTGGAGACACCTGTGCACAGGGTAAGCTGGATGGGCCCCTGAGTCAGCCAGGTGGGAGCACCACCAGGGCACCTCCAGGGTCTGGCTGGGAGAGGAAGAGGGGGTTCTTTTCCTTCAGCAGGGTTCTGCACATACCTGGGGCTCATCCTGTCAGTGCAGAGAGAGGCCCTGCCACCAAGGACCTCCACCTCTTATCTTCCTGCCTCCTTTCTGCAGAGTGTCCCCTCGGCTGGCATGGGCCAGGCTGCCAGAGGCCTTGCAAATGTGAGCACCAGTGTCCCTGCGACCCCCAGACTGGCAACTGCAACCTCACCCAGGTGCCCACCCTGAACAACATCCTCTCCCGAGGTACAACCTCCCCCAAACCCCGTGTGGGCAGGAGAGGGCATATGTGTACCCTCCTGCCCCTCAGCCTCACCCTGGTGTCTTAACAGTGAAGCAGTGCCTCCAGCCATCCGAGGTCACCCTGCAGACAGGAGAAGTCTCCCTTCTCACCGGGTAGGTGCTTTGGTGGAACCTGAGGTAGGGGTGGGAGGACTCCCCTTCCCTCCACCTTTGAAGCGTGGCCCCTGCTCAGGGACTGGGCAAAGCTGGCAGATGGCAGCTGGGCAGCCAGGAAACATTTCTCCGATGTCAGCACAAGGAGAGTCGCAGCTGATGCTCTCAGGGAGATGGAGAGGAGCCAGGTCACCACCCCAGTAGGAGTGGAGAGGGCCGGATGTGAGCTTGACACTCCGACTTGTTTTCTGAGCTCCAGGCGCAGAGGCAGCAGGCCCCGAAGAACTCACATCATTTCCCAGGCACCTCTGTGCGCTCAGGCCTTGTTTTTAGGCTTCATTGTCTAATGCAGTGGATCTCAAACTTGACCTTCAGGAGGAGGGTGTATTAAAAGAGAGTGCTGAGCACTACCCCCGGAGTTTCTGCCTCTGTAGGTCTGGGGTGGAGCCGAGAATCTGCATTCTGGGTGATGCAGACACTGATGATCTGGGGACCTCACCTCCCATAGCCCAGCCCTGGGTGACCGGCCCGCCCCGCCCTACCCCAGCTCAGCTCCCTCTGCCTGTGGGAACTAGGTGTGGGTATGAGTGAAGAACTCTCCAGCCCTGTCCTAGAGGCAGCACTTGGGAGCTCACCAGTAATGCAGATGCCAGGTCCTTCCTGGAGGTCCTGACCCTGTGAGCCTAGGTGCGGTGAGGCCTAGAGAAAACTGGAAATGTGCTTTGAAAACATACCAGAGCAGAGATAGCGGCTCCAGGAGCTCCACACCTCAGGCATTAAGCTCAGGCTCCTCAGGTGTACGACTTTGAACCCCCCACCCACACCATACAGACCTAGAACCCACTGGCTTCCACCAGCAAGGGAAGGCGAACCATGGGGGGCTGATGGGCATGGCTGCAGGCCCCACCCCAGCAATGTGCAGGTGTTCACTTTTGCATTGAGAGCTTCACAGGGATGAAAAAATGATCATTGAAAGAGCCCACTCTGTCCCCGCCACTCGCTGCCTTAGAGGAAGGGGTGCTGGCTCTCCCCACTCTGTCTGCTTCGAGGACCCTGGAGAGTGCCCATCCTCTTGTCAATGCCCAGTGGAGCACAGGATGCAAACTGATGCCTCCCAGGGCTGGGTTGGGTCATTTGAGTTGGTCTGCACAATATAACATTTTTAAAGATTTATTAGCAGCATCGGAAAATCAATAACGTTCATGTAAACCCCTCTTTTTTAATGGCTTCTCTTGAAGTGTCTGGAGATGTGGCAACACCAGCTGCATCCCACATAGCCACTGTCCCCACTGCTCCCCAAATGTATCTGTAGCATGCCCCGGCCCCGCCAGGCCTGTTTGCTCCTGCACAGTGGTCCCGGGAGGCCCCCAACCTGTGCCCCTGTTCTGGGTGGAAGAGCAAAGTGAGTGGAGGGAGGAACGTCCCTCCAACCCCCCCCTCCCCAGCCCAGAATCGGCCCAACATCCCCGCCGGGGTTTCTCTCCTGCCCCCAGGACCGCCTGGCTGGCCCTCACGCTGGCCCTGGTTTTCCTTCTGCTGATCAGCACAGTGGTGAACGTGTCCTTGCTCTGGGGCTCCAGAGTGGAGCGGAGCCGGCGCCTGGGCGGGGCTTATGTCTACCACCAGCTGCAGGAGATGAATGGGGAGCTCCTGGCCACGGAGAAGGAGCAGCCGGGCGACGCCCACAACCCCTTCAAGGACTGACGCCGCCAGCTGCCTGTCATAACCTGTTCCGGAGGCTCGTTTCGACATGGTCTGGTTCTGCAGGGGAAAGGCCAAGGCCACTGACCACCCGGGTGGTCTCAGCCCCAATGCCAAGCCAGGCTTCTGACAGCACCTGTGCCTCAGCCCCTCACCTGGCTGCCTGTTGTGGCACGTGCAACCTGAGCAATACAGTGCTCCCTGGAGAGAGACTGGCTCCATGCCTGCCTGTGTCTGCTGCCCACAAGGCCTGTCCCCCAAGGGCCTGCACCCCTGCCAGAGAACCTCTGGCCTCCTGGGGCAGGGACTGTTAGCAAATGAAACTCACCATGACCGCATGCGGACCAAGTGGCAGGGTCCAGCCGCCCCTTTGGACAGGGGTGGATGAAAGATGATGCCACCTCACAAGGCCTTTTCTACAGACCTCATCACCGCATTTGCCAACTAGAATTCTATTTCCTGTCCCAGGAAGCTCTTTAGAAGGGACTGGAGATGAAATCATGTTTACAGGCTGTCTATTTTGTTGTCCTGCCGCTGAGAGGGTTTTTCTACCACTTGAATAAATTGATATAATGATAGGAGCCCCCAGGTGGTGTCTGAATTCTGAATGGAGGAGTTCAGGGCAGCTTGGTCTTAACATAAGGCGGGGCTGCTTAACGTGAGGGGAATGTTGAACAGGCAGCCCAGGGCACCTCCAGCTTCCTGATGTATTTTTAATCCGGGGCTTCTCACTTTAATGTGTACATGAGTCACCTGGAGAGTTTATTAAAATGCAGATTCTGGCCTGGGGCTGAGAGTTTAACAAGCTCCCAGGTGGGGCAGAGGCTTCAGGGGCCCGCCCCGTGCTTTGAATGGAAAAGGTTGAGTGCACACCGCATTTTAATAGAATTTAGTTACCAGTATTAAAAAGTCAAGAGATTAACCCTAGGTTTCTGGTTTCTCTTTAAAAGAGAGGTAGTGGCCCCAGCTGCCACCCTCACTAAGCAACGACTTCTCAAAGCTGAGAATCGACAACTCCCGTCTGGCCCTCTCCAGTTCATCGCAGCCCCAGCAATCCACTCCCCTCCCGTGACCTGCCAGTCCTGTGAGTATCAGAGTTTATAACTTGTGGCCGCTAAGCGTCTTCAGGAAGTGCCTGGCAGCCGCACTCCGCACCCCCCCACCACCACCACCACCATAATATGTCTCACTGTGTGCTTAGCAGCTGTTTTGGGAGGCCAGGTGAGGAGGTGCCAGAGCTTTCAACAGGTCCTCAAATAGACCCATGCATGTGAGAGTCTGCGTGTTTGTTCCCCTAAATTCATGTGTTGAATCTGTCACCCCAATAGGGTGGCATCAGGAAGTGGGGCCTTTGGTTTAGTTAAGTTAGGATTAGATGAGGTGGTGAGGGTAGTACCCCCATGATGGGATTAGCACCCTAGTAACAAGAGAAAGAAACGAGAGAGCATTCTGTCCACGTGCTCACTCGAAGAAGAGGCCATGCGAGCGCACGGCAAGATGGCAGCTGTCTACAAGCCAGGAAGCAGGCCCTCACCGAAAACTGAATGTGCGGCACTTTGATCTTGGACTTCCAGCCTCCAGAACTGTGACAAATAAGTGCCTGTTGTTTATAAGCCATTCAGTTTGTGGTGTTTATCATAGCAGCCCAAGCAGACTAAGACATGGTGGACTGTAGTAGTTATCTAGTGCTGCCCAACAAACCAGCCCATAACTTGGTGGCTTAAAACAACAACCAGTTATTGCATCTTGTGAAAAGTAATTATTTCTCATGATTCCAGGGTCACCTGGGGGATTCTATTGGTCTGGGCTGGGATCAGTGATTTCAGCGGGGCTCACTCGGGTGCCTGCCATCAGCTACTGCGCCAGCTGGGGACCTGTCTGGGACGGCCACGACTGAGGATGTACCTGTTTCACACCGTGTCTCGTCCTCCAGGGGGCTGGCTCAGGCGTGGGATCAAGGTGGAGACAGGGATCCCCCAAGAGAAGCCGTCAAGGCCTTTTGAAACTTTGGCTCAGAACTGGCATAACCTTGTTTCCACCACATTGTGTCAGATCAAGTCCTTAGCCTGCTTGTTTCAAGGAGGAAGGAAGGAGACAGACTCCACTCCTTGATGAGAGGAGCTATTAAGGGACGTGAACACAGGAGGCTAAGTGAACCCATCACTGCAATCGAGCTGCTACTATAAAACAAGTCTAGTCTTACTTTAGAAAGGAAAAATTCGGCTCAGAGAAGTGAAATATCGCAGGCCAGTTCCCGGCCTACAAGTTCCTGCAAGGATGTGTCTGGGTCTGCGTGTCTTTCTGTCTGTCCCCCAAAATGGGGATAGACAAGCGGGGAGCCACTGTGCCAGCCGGTGATGTTCTCTGCTGGGGTCTACATTTCAGTCCTCCAGCTGGTGCCCCAGGCCCATGTCTGCCAGTGTCCCTGGGCACGTCTGCTCAGGCACCTGGTGAACCAGTAGGCCACAGGCCACGATACCCTCTGCCCGCCGAGCCACTAAAGGTTCCACCCCTCCCTCAGCCCGTCCCCTGGTTTATGACCCAGGTTGGAGGGAGGAGAGGGGTGGCAGTGGGGCATTCTCAGCATGTCCGGGAACTTAAGGACGGCCACTTGTTCAAGGAACCAGGCGAATGCTACAAGTGTTATTTCCTCCTTCTGGAAATGTAAGCAGCCAAGTTCATGTGCTCCTCCAGGGAGCTTATGTTTCAGCTCCACCTGGAAGGCTCAATTTGTATTTTGTTTTCTTTGAATGCACCAAGCAGCCCCGGGTTGCTTTGATGTTTTGCTCCCAGTGTTCAAGGGCAGGACATAGTGACAGACCTTAGACAAGCTGCCAAGCACCTTAGCATCACTTTGGCATGTTCCCAAGCCTGGCTGCAGGTCAGAACGTATTCCTCAGGAATGTTCTATGATTGCAAACTTCCGGACCCCATCCCAGAACCACTGAATCGGAACCTCGGGGTCAGAGGGGTCCAGGAACTAACAGGGAGCTCCCCCACCCCCACCTACCCACCCACCCAGGGGCTCTGAGACAACAGGCTGGGAAAGCCCGTGTCCTGAACGCCCCGACCTCTGCAGAGGGCATCTCTGTGGCTTTGGCTGTGCTGGCAGCTGAGCTGGAAAGTTACAGCTCTGTGCACGGGCTTGCTGGATTCCAGGCCTGCAGAGCACAGCAGTGCCTGGAGAGGGCCTGTCGTTGCGCCCAGAGGGGTCCCTGCTGCAGCAGCTGGGACACATTCGCCTTCCCTGTGATCCCAAGGGGTTTTTTCTAGTTTGTCATAAGAGTATCTATTATCTTTGCCCAACATCCAGTCCTTTTAGTAGCCACCTGTCAGAAGGTGGGTCCTCCCAGCAGCAGAACCTGAGACAAGGAAGTGAGGGCAAGTAGGGTATTTGAGAGGTGACCCCAAGAAGCCCTGGATAGGGGCAGGGAAGTGAGGGGACAAGGGAAGGCAGCCTGTACGCTGTGCATTAGTGAGCAGCTCCCCACTGTGGCCAGCCAGGCTTACCTGGCTGGGGCCTCTGGGAGAGTAGAGAACACCTGTGCCACCCATGGACGGGGAAGCTGGTGTGTTTATCAGCCTACACCCACTCATCATGGGTTGAGTGCTGCTCCGGGGGGTTAATTCCCTGGCGCTTCTGCCCTGCCCTACACAGGCCAGGTGTGCTGGGGTAGCCATCGCGACAAATGGCAGTTTCTTGCCTCCAGATGCCCTCTGTGGTAACGAGAGTACCCAGGGAAGGTGGGCAGGGCATCAAGGACCATGACCACGAGCCTCCATCAAGTTGCTTTTGGGGCATGACATCCCCCCATAGTCTTTCCCTGTGGTTTGGCTGCCACCATCCCCTCTCTCCAAGTCCAGGTAGTGTCAGCAAATGATTCAGAGAGAGGCGTGTGTCCCAGTTGGCCAGTTAGAGCCCCTGTGTAACTTCTGCTGGAACCGGGAGAAAGAAACTCCACCGAGATTGTCCAGCTTCTGGGATGAGGGCCACATGGAGGAGGAGAGTGAAGCCAACATGGCAGACGACTAAACCAAGCAAGAAAGGGGATAGCGTTTGAGCCCCTGGATCCAGCTATACCTGAAGCCAG